GGAAAAGTGCTGGGAAGGAGGAAATCAGGGAGATGGTGGCCAACATGGCAGATTGGGAGGGGGAGTAGTGTCAAAGGAGAGAATCTTGAAAAGGTTCCTAGTTTGCGAAAATTCTCCCAAGAAGCAGGACGTGCCTTGAAAGTGATGTTGCCTGATATTGCTACAGCAGTGCAGAACTGGTGCAGCTGGCAGAGCATATGAGACGATTAATGACTTGAAAACCCTCAGCTTCGCAGTGAAATGGACGTATTTGACGCCATAAAATTGTTTTCAGGGTGCAAAACAAACGCTTGCAGTTTAGCTGCCAGCCGGCTGTGCGCAGCTGCCAGGTGGCACTTTTGCTCAGTTTTGTTCCTATTTTATTTTTCAGCTGCCTGCTTCATCAGAATTGGTCGTGAAATCCCATTCTGAAATCGTGAGGAAACTTCGGCGGGTTTAAGCACGAGTGGGATGACCTAGTCTGTGGTCTTGTTTGCTAATCGATCGTTCCTGCGGCTGGGTTGGCGTTGGGCGATCCAGCGCCCCGTCTTTTATCGCCTGTCACCGTGACGTGTTACAAGCGAATTCCCCTTGTAACCTGGCCTTTTCAAACCTAGAAATTTTTCCCATCTTTGCTTAGCTTTCAGGCTAGACTTAACCCACTTGCAGATAAATTCTAATCATTGGCCAAGTATTAGCTAGTTGTCTCTACTTAATTACTTAATTTTTTGACACGGACATTTTTTTCGTAGCCGGGTGTTCGCTTTTTTCATATAAAAGTGACTTGAAACGGGAAATTTTTGCAATTGTCGTCTTCAGAATGTGCTAAGCCGAACTGCCGCATAAGAAATGGCTTCCGACGTTGCATTTTACGCTGAACGCCTCGCTCACAAGGAGCACGAGCTCAACGTTAGTTCCCATCGTCTACATAATTTTAGAATTTCGAGAAAATCCAGTTTTTTTCGCTTTGACTGTAATGTTCTAGAGTTGTCCATTCCAGGAATTCCAAGCTGCCTTTAACAAGTATAAGCTCAAGACCAAGGTCAAATTTGATCAATTACGCAAGGAGGTCAATGCGTTTTGTACCGAAAATGGCCACTCGCTCGATGAGAAGGAGGTAAATAGCTCTTCTCCACCGCCGTCCTGATGGCGAACTCTTTGCACTGCTTAACCCAGGGCGAACCGGATGATGTGAGCGAACCCCCTGCGATGAGATTATGCCTCAGATGTCCTTAACAAGATGGGCTGTTCTTTGCCTCTACTGGGTCGCCCAACAGGGCCGTCGTTAATGGCCGCATCCAGGAGAGGGGCGATTCGGTAATTTGGGCTGAGAGAAAATTTATTTGCAATAGTCGGTTGTTTCTCGCTTCACAGAATGCTTGAGGTATGGGAGGGTCGTTACTTGCTGGCATTGTGTTGGGACGGAGGGAGAGGGACGTATTCACTTTCGGCCTTTCTCATGCCATCTCTAGAAAAGGTGGTTTTGATGGTTGAGTATTCATGATTTTCTTATTTCATGTGTTTGCTATATACCCCCCCCGCTCGACAGCAACAAAATTTTCGGGAAAAAGTAGGAAGTTTCGGGAAATTTTGGAAAAAGTGGCAGGAAGTTGGGGAAAATCTGAGAATTGGTAGAAGGGGGGGGTCGTATTGTCTCGCGGCTTTTCCTGTTTCACATGTGCTATTTACCCCTCCCCCTCCCTCGACGGCTCGATTCGATGAGGAGGGCCGGGGAGCCGGAGGAGGTCGTACCAACCCCTCCCCCCCAAACGAGTCCGTACGACCCTCCCCCTCCGCCCACCACCCTCTCTCCCCCAAAAAAATGGGACTCGACTAAAATCCCCAACCAATGATGTGCCCTGTATGGGAAACACTTTCCCTCATCATCCATAGCAGGGGCCCTTCGTGCTATTGGGGAGAATTTCTGCAACATATGTTACAGCGCACTTGAAATAGGAAAAACACCAAAAAAGGTCTACAACAAAAGACTTTCCTCTCAAAAGCAAGTGTTCTCCCCCTCCTTCCAGCGTCCATACACTCCCATCTCCTCATCGGGGATGTGCAGTTTACCCCGGTCACAATGTGCCCTCACGTGACTTACCCTCCGTTTGTCGAATGTTTTAGATGTTGTTATGCGGTTTTGAAACATCTGTTGTATCTGCAGGCTAATTGGCAGGACGTGTCAGTTTTTATGGCGCAGTGGTGAAAAATTACTTGACAAGCCCTCAGTTTCTTGATCGATTCAGCACCAGACTTGATTGTCTTTCAAAATCGCATGTTGCATGCAACATTTGTCAGACGAGGCGGAGCAGTAAACTCAGCACAGCTGATCCTTCAGGGCATGGTAGAAGCTCAACCAGGGGAAGCTGTCGTTAATAGAGTAATGGCAGCCGGATGTGGGAATTGGGAGGGTGGTGTCGATGACCCCCTCCCTCCCAGACTTCTTCCTCCGAAATGGTCCCCGTTCCCTATCCTACCTGCCATCTTCCTAAAATCAACCAATTTCCTATCGTTTTCCCAGTTTTCCACAAAATGTTGCCAGTTTTTTTTTCAAAAAAATGCCGCTTAGCGGGCGGGGGGGGAGGCCAGGGGTTTATGGCGCACATGAGGAGGAAACACCGGGAAATGTCAGCAAACGGAAACATATTTACGGAAAACACTCGGAAATTTTCCTACTAAGGCTGTATGCGACCCCCTCTCCCCACCGATCAACATTGAACAAATACGACCCACCTGATGGGATTCTGCCAACGATGCTGCATCCTGATCGTTCAGGAATCCAGTGACGACTAGTGGAGCTAGGGGAAACGTATTGGCCTGGTTGAAAATTTGCCCTGTTGATTTATGCCGTTTTAGGCGCAGCCTTTTCCTTGTTGCGGTGATGGGTTCCAAGTTTTGCTAATATACTCTTAATTAATCCACGTGTGAGCAACGGTGGCTTGTAATGGCTCTCCACGTGAACGGTACCTGGATCGGCTCCGCGTCAAGCTTGCCCTACCCCCTCAGGACACTTGTAAATTGGTACCAAATTTGTCTGGGAGGATGAAAACACTGACTTGTACATTGGCTGTCCTCCGCAAGTCATTGCATAGGCCACATGCATTCAAATAGCCACTGCCATTCAGCACTGGAGCAGAATGCGTGTCGCATCCCAAAAAAGGGATTGATCAACCGCGAAAACTTTATCCTTCATTATTAATCTTTGCGTTTTCTCATCCGCCGTTTGAATGTATGTAGTGAAGAGATCGTATTTTTAAATTTTTCCTCTGCGAGGTGATTGTCCCATATCCCCTTGGCCCACTCAAGCAAGGTATTCATAATGCCGGGTTCGATAATTGGCCTTATACTAGTCTGAGAAGGTACTTCAAACGGAACTTTGCGCAGGTCCATAGACCCTCCGATTTTCGGGTTGTTCCGAAATGTTCTATGCGTGCCCAGAGGAAGCTAACTGAACGACATTCTCCCACTACTCTCATCACCAATTAATGACTCACTTGCCTTTTTTACTTCCAGAATAACGCGTTACTATTGATTCGACTGGCTGAAAATGAGACAGCCATGGAGGCGGCAAACCGAGAGGCCGAGTATCTACGGAAAGAGCTGACACGAAAGCAGACTCAACTCAATGATCAACAGATCCTGATTAAGGTACCCTAGGATAATGTCAGATTGTGCTGGAGGTGGTTACGAGAAAAGGAAATTATAAATTTTAAAAATGCACAGGATTTGTGAAGGGGGGCTCCCGCTCTCCTCTTTCTCGTGCTCAAACTTATCGTCGTTTTTTGAACAAGAGAG